GCCACGCAGGCGCCGCCGGGACCCCCGAGCCGCCCGGCCGGCCCTTCCCGTCCCCGGCCGGTGCCCGCCCCTTGCCGGGGCTGCCGGGAGGCGTAGTCCGGGCACGGCGCTGCGGGCCGGCTGCTCGGCACACGCCTGAGGGCTCCTGGGCAGGTCTGTAGGAACATCGCTCCTCCCGAGACTCCTGACGGGGAGATGAGACTCTTCTGCTTCACAAGTCAAACTCTGCTAACACAAGCATGAGCCAGACTTGGAAAACCGGCTCCCCCCAAGCTGCACAAAATACTACCTTTTTTTTTTTTTTAATTTTAATCTTAATTTTCTTTTGCTCAAGGCTGTTATCAGAACACCAGGCGTGCTTGACCAGCAGATAGAACTCCTGCAGGACTCCTGGGGTGACCCACCAACACTGCCCGGAGCAATGGGGCACTGCAGGAAAATAAAATCAAAACCACGTGGCCACAAATACCTACACAGCTGTTTATTTTTTTTCCTTCCCCGGCATGGAAGTAATTGTTAATGTTGCATCATCAAGAAAAAGCATGTGCAACTTTTTTTGCACATTTGAGATGTGTGAAAAATGTGTATTATATGATTGGCTCTTTGCAAATATTAAAATAAATACTATATGTGTTATGTTGGAAAGTTATGCTGTATTAATCTCTTCTACATGGCGTGGTAAATATAGTTTTTAGGCTACAGCATAATATTAAAATAGACACTATGTGATGTAAGATACTTTTTGTAACCAGCTCAAGGAATGGATAAGATAATCAAGAAATTATTCGCATAGAGATAACAGCAACAAGACAAAACATCCCAAGAGAAGAATTATTGGCTCCTTATCGGGAAGAACCAGACTTCTTCCAGACTCCTGGGAGCCAAAGGAATTGATTTATAAAATGGGGGGGGGGGGGGGGGGAGCACAAGTTAAGCAGAAGACACCTTTTGTTTGAAAAGAATGTTTGAATCATGTATGAGATATGTGAATATGCAACAGGCTATTGCTTTTAAGGGTTAATCCTTTGTTAGTGAGCCATGCTTTTTGGGGCTTAGTGCCCAAGGTCCGTAATTCTTTGCTTTTTACTGTCCTTTATTGTCCTAACTCTGATTGTCCTAATTCTTATTGCTCTAATTTTTATTACTAATTTTATAACTATTTTGTTACTATTAAACTTTTAAAATTTTAAAATAAGTGATTGGCGTTTTTCACAAGATGCAACACGGTAAGGGAGTCCCTGCTGAGTAGATCATTTCCCTGTGCCTAAGGCCCATGCCTAGTAAGTTAATAACCAAGATTTGAAGTCCTTTGACAGTAACAATCCTAGTATACATTTGAATTACAGAACTGTATTCAGGAAGAGTGGATGCTGCAGGATCAAATATTCAGGCTTTAAATCCTTCAGATCCTCACTTGTCAATGCTGCAGAGATGGATTTGATATATGTATCTGAACTGCAAAAAGTTTCTAATTTTCTTAATTCTATATAGAATTATAAACACCAAGCTTATTCTTCTGCCAGTCCTGAATGTTCCTCCGTGCAGTACTTATAGCATAGGGAAAACTGTAATCTGAAAATTTCCTATTTATTCAGTCTGCTCCTAGGCTAAAAATGTCTGGGTTTTTTGTCACAAAGATGAAGCCTGCACTGTGCGCACTGGTTTTGTGAATAACATTGAAAGCAGCTAGCAGAGAAACTTCAAGAGGGGAAGGAGGAAAATTGAGAAATCTTTTGTTTTTAGGTGTCTGTTCTGGTGCTGCCAAGTCCATCTGTAAACCACGTCCTTAGGTGCCACATCCATGGTTCTTTTAAATACCTCCAGCCATAGCGTCTCCACCGCTGCCCGGGGCAGCCTGTTGCAGTGCCTGACAACCCTTTCTGTGGAGAAGTTTTCCCTAATATCCAATCTAAACCTGAGGCTACTTCCCTTTGTCCTATCGACTGTTACCCGCGAGAAGCGGCAGACCCGCACTCGGCTGCAGCCGCCCTTCAGGCGGTCGTGCAGCGCCACAAGCTCTCCCCAAGCTTCCTTTTCCCCAGCCGAAGCCCTCCCGTGCCCCTCAGCGCTGGGCAGGCGTCCGCGGCTGTTCCTGCCGCTCTCTCCACGGTGCTCCTTTAACTCCGGTCCCACCCCGCTCCCTGCCCGTGCCGCAGGCCGGGGGCGGTGCGCGCTCCGCGGCATGGCGGGCGCTGCGGCCTGCGGCCCGCTGCCGCTGCCCTGCCTGCTGCTCCTGCCGCGGCCCTGCCTGCTGCTCCTGCTGCTCCTGCTGCTCCTGCTGCTGCCGGCCGCCAGCGCCGAGCCCGAGCTGCGCTTCAGGCCGCCGGCCGAGGCCCCCGTGCGGCTCTTCACCGAGCCCGAGCTGGCCAGATACGACGGGCACCAGGTAGGGCCGGGCCGCCGCTCTGCGCCGAGGCCGGGCCGGGCCCGCACATCCCGGCGCTGCCGCCTTCGCTGGCGCTCCGAGCCCTGCAGCCGCCGCCAAGCTCGGGTTTCTCGTGCTCTGCTGCGGTGCCGCCCTGCCATCCCCCGCGCCCCGTCATTTGGGGCATCCCTCGCTTGTCGGGCAGCAGTTTGCGGGAGGTTGGCAGGCAGCCGTGTGCTCCAGCCTCTGCGCCGCGGTCCGGCTGGCAGCTGCCCGGGCTGATGCTGCACACACACCGTTTGATAATTGGGTGCCATGTGCCCATTTTACTCGCTCCCTGCTCCTGCCAGAGAATTTCAGATTACCCTGAGTTGGAGCCAAAGTTAATTTTCTCCCGCTAATTCATTAAACCATGTACTTAGACTTTAAAAAAACAATACAAAAATAATAATTAAAAAAAAAAACCAAAAAAACCAAAAAACCACAACAACAAAACCCCACCAAGATTATCAAAATAACAAGACAGTTTTAACTTAGGAGTGTTTAGCTTGCTGTGATTCAGAAGCCTCAGCATAACGCCAGACTCAAAATGATACGGTCCTGTATTGATACACATCTGCTTCTCTTTGGAAACACTTGCTGTCTGACCTTCTCGGTGTCTTCTCTAGATACTTTGAAGAGACTAACCAATGTCTGACTAAAATTACATCTTAGGTGTAAAACACAAAGCAGAAGCACTGGCTTATTAAGTAAAACAGATGTCAGCAGATCAGATTTACGTGTGTTTATGTATTTATCTTTGTTTCTTAAATAATGCTGTTGGCCACACACCCTTTTATTTTGGGCAATATCCATCTGCATTAGGAATAGAAAGATGCAGTTGACAATCTTCGAGCAGACTAGTGTGCAGACAAGAGATGACTTGCAAAAGGGACATGTCTTCTATGGTTGTGCTGTTTAGATTACAAAGATTCTCATTGCTTATGGCTGAACCCTCAAAGAATATTAGGGGCAGTTTATTGCACAAGCAAGAAATGTCAAGAGAAGGAAAGCGTATGGTGGTATAACAAGAGTAAACATACAACAAAGAGTTTGTGTCCTAAGAGCTTGTGGATTTCACAGCTAAAACGAACTGCTTTTTGCCCGTGCTTAAGTGCTGAGGATGTATTGATGGCTTTCCCTCCAGGAAGGACAGCCCATCTACTTGGCGGTGAAGGGAGTAGTGTTTGATGTCACCTCTGGAAAAGGTTAGTGTGCTTCTCCTCTGCTGTCTACTTTGCTTTCATGATATTATTCAGACATTTGGTTCTAAATATTCCCAGTGTATTGGAAGCCTGCAGTTCAATTGCAACAAAAAGATACACTGTTTCCTCTTCTAAAAAATTTGATTTTCCTCCTCTGACAGCTCCCCCTACTAAGGTTTTGTCTAGAACTTAGACTGGTCTGAGATCACAACTTGTAGACAGACAAGCCAGCACTGTCAGCTAGCTTGGGCACTGCTGATGAAAACTGGAAGGACTTCCCAGATCCCTGAGTCCTTGCCAGACGTGGGGTCAAGCCACATGGAAGCTACAGCATTTTACTGCCCTGGTTATATGAGCTGAGCAGATCAAACCTAATGTGGACATACCCACTGTACAATATCAACACTGCTGCAGCTGCATCTTTTCCTTCTGTGCTGGTGTTCACACCCCTTGCTGTTTTTGCCTTCCCTGAGAACTACAAATGTTTTAATTGGAGCTCCTGCTACTTAATCCAGATTTGCTATAAAAAGTTTGAAGGGACCATGAGGGTTTTAGACACTTGCCTTATGATTCGTTTATCATAAGTAAACGAATGGCTTGTTACTGTGTTTGTACTAACGTTGTCTGGGCATACACATTGGGTTGGCCGATCTTCAAATCCTAAATGACACAAAGCTTGCAAATTCTGGGGTCTACAAACATCTCATGAGAATGTAAAGCACAACTCCTGAAATAATAGGTAAATTTTAAGAATGCAGTATAGGAAGTTCAACAGCTGTATAACCCCAAAAAGTAGGAAATCCAAAGTCAGTTCTGGAAAGAAGTCCTAGGCTTGAGTTGTTGCTTTCAGTTCACTGACATTCAGTTCACAGTCTGGTGAAGGGCAGAGGCTGAACATACCCTGTACATTGTCAGATCATCACTGGATTTATTTTTTTTTTAATCTGACAGAATTTTATGGAAAAGGAGCTCCATACAATGCTTTGGTGGGAAAAGACTCAACAAGAGGAGTTGCAAAGATGTCTCTGGATCCCGCAGATCTTACACATGATACAGTAAGAAAATGGGCTATCAGTTTAATTGCACTTTGTAAATTTATATTGTCATGCAAGATGATAAATGATTATTTTAAATTGTTTATATTTATATAAGTTGACACATATTTAAAATCAAAATGCATTAGTTCTCTTCAGATACATAAAATATATTTACTGGTCATGAAAGGTGCTAACAGCCTTCAAGAGGAAAGATTTTCATTTGTGAAATCAATACAACTTCTGTAAACATGTAAAAGGGAAATTGCCTGCTGTTTACAAAGATGCTCACAAAGACAGTAAATCCCTTTCTTTTGGTTTGGTGTATCCTGCCGTGGCAGTGAATGCTAGCTCTGGTGGTAGGTTGTTGCTTGTTTGACCTGAATACCTTAAAGTTTTGTCAAGGCTGAATTTGAATGGAAAGAATACAATTACAAGCTGTACTATCAGTTTTGTTCCTCATGCTCTGCAGTGTAAGCCCAAAAGCTGAGCCTAAGGTTTACAGTAATCATTAAAAAAAACCTCATGTAAATATCTCTATTTTTATTTCTTTGAGACAGGACTTTCATTTCCATGTTTCCTTTAGACAGGACTCACAGAGGAGGAACTGAAGTCCCTGGATGACATCTTCAATAATGTTTATAAAGCCAAATATCCAATTGTTGGCTATACTTCTCGGCGAATTCTAAATGAGGATGGCAGCCCCAATCTGGACTTTAAACCTGAAGATCAGCCACATTTCAGCATTAAAGATGAGTTTTGAGGAACATTTTTGTACCTAGAGAACTCCTGGGCAGAGGCACAGCAGAATATTAAATTAATTCCCTGTGTTGTGGAGTTCATTACTACAATTAGCTACCATGAGTCAGTTCTCTGCTCAGAAAATAAGTGTGTGTGTGTACACACATAGCACAGAGGAAACAAACAGATCTGTAGTAGTGTCATACACCTGGGCTGTTTGCTGAGAATTACAGGAAGTATTTAACCTGCAAGTTCTTTCTGCCAGGATTTCTTTGTTAAGAAGTGTATAATGTAAAATTACATTCCTTAGAAGAAAGAATTTTAATAATTGAAATATGACTGCTCTTTTTGTAAATCCCAAGTTGTTTCCCACTCCTTGGAAAAGTGTAAAAGAATTATTTGGACAAGCTAACATCAATTCTCTGTGTTTCATCTGAATGTAGGTATCACAAGTACAGACAGGTGCAATGCATTATATACAGGCTTACATTTTCAAAAGCATTATGGAGTTTAATATTTGATGGGTTTGAGAATACTGGATATAAAGCCACTCAGTCTCCTCAAATGCAGTTACTGTGGAGTATTTCTGCAAAGCCTACAGCTGTAAACTGAGAAAAATAAATCTTTTTTCCCCCATGAGGACTACTGTGACACGTTAAATAAGACTGTTATGTTAGGTTTGGATAAATGACACTTTACTTTTTAAAAATAATTATCAAAGTTGTCATCTATATTAGATTATGATGATTTCCTTCTATCTTTCTCTGACAAAAAGAGGAAATTATAACCCACTGTTTGCCACTTACTCTTACAGCACAGGTTTATTATAGCAGCTTAGTGTCCTATGAACATTGTTAGTATTTTTATATTAACAATTTCAGCTCTCATTTTTTTATGTCTCTTAGTTTTCCTTTGTTCTTATCCTGGCTTCATCACTGCTGTTTTAATGAAGTGTGCGGTGCCATGTTCCTCTTCCTCTTAACCTGATACAAAACTGCAGATACTGCAGTGTGAAAGCAAACCCCCTTGATGGCATTTCCCTGGCAGCCTTCCAGCAGCAACAGAGGACTGTAAAAGCCTGAGCTGTATAAATTGCTGCTAACCCCTGACTTTCACTCACGTAAGTAGAATGTGAATTGTCCCATATGTGGATTTATCTGTCATTGTCACCATTTTGATTGATATGGGGAAAACTAAGCAGCTGCTCCCAATTCTGTATTAATAATACAGATATAATAAAAATATGATTCTGTATTGTTCTTCTATTTCTTAAGCATTTTGGTAACTTTCTAGGAAGGGAAGTTTTTATTAGATGATTCTCCATCTTCTAGTTTGCCTGTCAGTTGAATAACTAGAAAAGCTGTTTCTATGTATTTGCCCATTCTTTCATAATGTTACAGATTTTATTCTAGATTTGTTTTGTTTCTCACCATTAGACCACCTCATTTGCAGGAGGGACTCCATGGGCCCTCCCACTGTTGGATGGTGCTCTGAGTAGAAAAAAATAAATCAGCATCTAAGAAATTACTATTGCTTCAGATTATTTATGATTATTTTGTGTCACTATTTATTACTATTATTACTGCTGCCCTTTTGATTAGAGACCAACAGCAGCTGGGAGTTTGCTCCTTGATGATACCTGTTGCCTTTGTGGGAATGCATGTGGGTTGGGTGGTTATGGTGGTTGGTTGATTGCCAACATTTCACAAATAATTTTTCAGTGCCTACTAGTTTTTTTACCCTTCTCCTCCTTACCTTGCATGCTTCCTGATGGGGCAGCTTCAGTAGTTGTGCTGCTGTGATTACTGTAGAAGTCCTTGCTTCATCTGGCATGATATCCAGCTGCATTTCAAAAAAAAACCCTTGTAGCTCAATTCCACTCATCACCACTGAGTGGCTCAGTGTTCCTGTTCTCTCCCTACTTTTCCTGTTCTCTCTATGAAATCACCTTTGCTGGTGTCAAAGCAGGTAACTCAGCTTCTGCTTGTACTAAATTTCAGGTTCTTTTCAATGAGGAAGTGCTCCTGTTGCAACAGGAAATGGTGATATAAAACTCCCTCCTGTATTGTAAGATACTCACAAATTCAACCTGCTCTCACCCTTGTCTGTGAGGGAGATGCTTTAGTCCTTCCTTTCTGTTATTAGAGACAAGGTTATCACAACTGAGTGCATTTTAGCTTTTATTGGTTTTATTTGTTATTAAAATTTATTTATTTATTTATTTATTTATTTATTAGAACTTTTTGGTTTTATTTCCACTTGGAAATGGAAGGTTTCACATTTAGTCACTTCTTAGGCTATTTCACTTGGGGTTTCCACTCAATAGAAGTGTTACAACAATAAGGCTTTAAGTGGACACATCCTTAACACGTTTTCACTGACTGCTTTTAAAAAATGCATTCAGAGTACCACAGTATTTCTTTTAGTGTTAATTCAACAACACTATTTTATGTCTAAGGTTGTTTTACTTGCCAATGGCCTGAAATTGATTTTGCTTAAAAGCGAACTGTCAGCTATGGCTGCTTTGTTCAGGCAGCTGCATTTCCCTGACCTCTGTATTATTCCAGTAAAACAGGTGCCCTCATGATCTATAAATTGCACCCAAAACAAGCAAGCTGTGCAGAGCTCTGTTGTAGCCCTCCTACTCCACACCTCCTTTGGAGAGTCTAGAATTTCTTTTCAATTTGCTTGCTGCTTCCAGATAGCATTGCAAATGTCATTATTTTTGCTGTGTGCTTCCAACATCCATCTTGCTAATTGAAGTCTGAGGTTTTACTGAATTGCTGCACCAAGAATTGCCTTCCTTTAGTATTTAATTATAGTTTACTCTTCAGAATGTCAAGAATTATCGGATGGGCTCACTTACCTAGATGATGCATAATCTGAGTTGGTGTTTCCCAGGTGTCACTCTTTTCAATAGTCCCTCACTTTGACCCTAACACATTTGTGACAGGATAAATTCTATCATCCCTGCTTCAAGAAGGACTTCTCTTATTAACAATTTAAGCATTAGGACTGCAAATGTAAGCAACAAAAACTCATTAAAGTGTTTATGAAATGCAAATCAAAGTATCCTCCTTATTTTTTTGTAGTTGTAGAGAGTGCAGTGAAGAGAAATCCTCCTAAGAACATGTTATGAGTTATTGCATCCTAATCTAACCCAGACCACCTGCTGGAATGGAGGGGCTCTGAATTCTGCAGACAGAGCAGCTGAGATTTTTCCAAGAATTTAGGGTAAGACCTTAGGATAAAGTCCTTTTCTATCCATAACATGTATATTGACACCAGTTTTGGGTTTTTTTTTTTTAGCCCTTTGCCAAACTATGAGTCTTTCATTGACTTAAATCAGGTTTTGTATTAGTTTTCTTCTGCAGAAAAGGTCTTGTGATCCTTTGAAAACTGCAGCTTAGACTACTGACCTTGTGGTCTGCTGATACCACTGGCTATGAATTCACATCAGTGTAGGAATCACAGTGGGATCACAGTTCAGACTGCACTTGTCAGACCTGCCAGACTTCCATGTTCCAGTAAAAATTAAAAGAGGATGCTTATGTGTTTAAGGATGGTGCTTTGGAACGGAAGAAGCCTCAAAACAGTTTGTAAATCACCTCCTTTTACTGTTGTTTCAAAACCACTATCAGGTAATACATTCAACAAATCATAGTTTGGAAAGGTATTAAATTGCTGTAGTCTTTCCTTGTAAGAATCCCAAGAACCTGTAGAACAAGACAAAATGGTTTAGATGACTTTCACATATGTATTCTGTCCCTTTTAGATGAATATATTTTTCTGAAATGGGCTCAATGTAATTTGCATTTGCTCAAGAGAAAATGGAAGAGATGTGGAAAGATCCACTTAGGAAGCCCAATGCTAATTTTTTAGCAAATCTGGTTGAACTGAAAGGAGAAAAAAAAGTGAAAAAAACCCATCTGCCTACTACAGTGAGTGAAAAAGCTGCCATTCAGAAGGATTCAGCTGCACATCAGGAAGATGTGCTGAGCAGCTCTGATTAGTGTTTGCATATTTTCAGATGAACACTGGATATCTTGAAATCCCAGACCTGATGTAAGCAATGACAATCACACACTTTGTTACCCATCATCCATTTATTCCTAATGTTTTCCTCTCCATACAGGAAAAAATATACAAACCATGCAATTTATATGACAAATCTGTGTCCCATAAGTAATATTCATATAAATGCACATGAATCTATAACCTGAAAGCTGTTTACATGGTATACAGAATGGCAGTTTTCAAACAAACTAGTACTTGTCTGTGAATGCTTTGAAACAAACAAAAAATCACTAAACTTTTAGATTTGTAGCACTTCACTCAGAGCTCTCTCTGTGAGTGCCAGTTCAGACAATTATAATGTTCAGTGTAGTTGTCTGCTTTGGTAGAAAACTCAGTGCTATATCAAAAGGTGATTTTTCCCCCTCTGTAGTCAGTCAGAGTGTCAAAGACCTGGGTGTATGATAGGTGGGCATCACTGCTAGAAGTACTCTAACAGGCATGATTTTGACCTTGGCATGTCCAAAATAACCCTAACGCAGAAAAGAAAATAGGTAGGAAATGAGAATTTATCTTAGTGTGCTACTGGGACAATTTATACTGGTAGATCTGGCAGAGCAGGTCTGATAGCAGTGCTTCCTATTTTTGCTTCTGTCAAATATGGCCAATGAGAACAATGTAAACTTGCACCCTTATCCATCTCTTGGGCTTCACATAACACCTTCTGGTTTAGCATTTTTCTTTCTGTTCAGTAGAAAGTATGAGTCCTGATTTACTTGTTTACAAAGCTTACACTTAAATCTTGGCTTGGTTAATCTGTTGATGAGAAATCCAAACTAAAAGAAACAGAGATGAATGTTCTGTGAAAAATAGAGCTTGTGCACCTGGATGAACTGCAGAGCCACAGGAAGTACTCTTGAATAAACAATTTCTTTGAATATTTCCTGTAAGTTATTTGTAGCTGTTGCCATCAGAAATTTTGTACTGTTGATGAATGTTCAGCTTACCATGTTCTGCAGTACTTCTTGACAAGAGTCTTTATCATTCTGACATGAGATATTATCCTTCTGAGAAGTGAAAAGTTTAGAAGAAACTGGGTGCAGGCCATCTTGGAGACAAGCCAGCCAAGAGAAATCAAAATATGACCTAATTTTCCCTCTACTTAAAGAAAGCTTTCTGAAAAAGGAAAAGAAATCACTATCCCAGGGTCTATATTTTACCTTCCAGATTTTGCTGAAAGTTTTCCCATACTGTGCAAAGGCAGCAGATAAAGCCTTGAAAAAGACTTGAATCTAAACTCTTGCATTGTGAAAAATTTAATCCACTTCTCCTGAGGCTTTAAAGATTACAACAACTCAGATAGTGGCGTACAAAGTGTCAAACACATGAACTGAATCAAGCCAGGCCTAAGCTATTAGGAATATCTGAAGGCAGAGCTGAAACTTAGAGCTTTCACCCTTCTTTTGTAGACAACAAGAGCTTCGAATGGAAAAAAAAAATCCTTGAAGGTAACACTTGTTTCAGCCAGTTTGGGCAGACAGAATTAGATGGTGTCTGAAAACTTCCTTGTGTTGTCTTGTTCTGTGCTACTGTGCAGGGATTCTAAAATCATTTGTGTTGGATACACAGAACTAGTTACCAAGCAATTCACTGCCTGGAGGGTAACTTTATAGATTAAACTGATAACTGGTTCAAAATAGCCAGGCCAGATCAGGAGTATCCCAGGAAGGTTATTTGCCTCATTGGGGGCTGTGGATCCATAGCCTTTATTTTACACTGCAGATAAAAGTCCAGGTAAACTCAAAATTATTAATTACATTTATCCATTTATTAATTTTTAAGTTTGAGCAAAACTCCTAAAAACTTTACTAATAAGAATAAATATCATTCCACAAAAAAGCAAAGTGTTCATTCCGAACTGTGCAGCACACCTAAGTACACTTAAGGCAAAAGTGGTAATCAAGGGAATTACCTGTTTAAATTGAGATTATATTCTTAGGTAACATGTCTTGGAAGTGTCTCAGGCATTTCAAAGATTTTCCCTTATTTATTGTTTCACCATGCGCTGTATTTTAAAATAGATGCAAGACTTTTTAAGAATAGGGCAGTAGGACTTTCAAGGCATTTCTGAAGTATTTTCATGTTACACAAAGACAAACATACATGTGCACCTGAGGTACACAACAGACAGACCCAGCAATTTGGACAAAGGTGGCAGCAGTCTTACAGTCTTTTAAAACATGTTGTATTCCATATATTTCTTAAACTGACCAAGTCACAAATAACACCCTGACACAACAAAAATGATAGGCAGAAATGAGCTTGTAGGGATAGCTGAAAAACTCTCAGTATTAATGTGTGTAAAGACCAATCTATCAATTTCAGTGAACTTGAAAGGATTTTAGGAACATGAGCTTAGCAGGGATGTTTGGTGTGTGCTGAGACTCTGATTCTACACACTAAATATTATTATTGTCCCTATATTCCTTCCCATTCCTCTGAGTGGTCTCCTT